CACACACACACACACACACACACACACTGAACTATGCTCCCTGATGTCTGATGTTATTTCTAAAGGTGAGTGAGTCATTGCTCCTCTATTCTTGTCTGTACTTCTGGTCCTCTGGGCGGAACAATAATCTTTTTGTAACACACACACACACACACACACACACACACACACACACATACAGCATTGTGTGTGTGTGTACATGTACTGTATATAACAGTGCATGTACATGTCACATATGAGTTTACTTACAAAACGAATCATCAGCATCAACAGACTGAGTTGAGCAGTTTCTAGCTGAGCTCTCGTGGTGAGAATTGAAATGTGTTTAATCAAACACCTCACAGGTCCATTCACACACTGAGGGCTCGGACTAATTGCTGCTTCGTCGAAGGACGCGTTCATATAAGACGAGAGGATCCAGGTATCAAACTGCCGACAACAACAAGAGCTTTGTTTTCTCAGATGAAAATCTTGTTGACCTGTGAAAATCAAGCTGTGTCACTTCAGTTATTAATGATTATTTTCATTGTTGATTTATCTTCTTCACCGACGTGAATCCTCGTAACTCTGGAGTCACACGAGCGACCTGATGATTTGATCCAGAGAGACAGAATCTGTGTATGTGGACACGTCCTCAGACTCTGAATCTCAGTATTGATCAGTGGAACCTTCAGGTTTGTCGGCTGCATATTTGATTTATTTCTCACAGGCTGCTCATCAATACAAGGTTTCTGTGTGCGCTCTGCTCCTGGATCACAGAAGAGTTGAGTGTTTGGAAACGACCAAAGACTCTGACACACGATTTCTAATTTCTCTTTGTAATGTGAAAGATAACAATGATGCGTCCAGAGAGAAACAGGTGCAAAGGGAAAATATGTTGGTTTAATTTTCCTTTAACATGAGGACGATAATGAAAATCAAGTCAGAACGTCAGTGAGATAATTAGAGCGGCTTCGACACGGAGTCGCCAAACAGGCAGGAACAACTGTCGGAGAATAACTGGAGTCACAGAGGTCGATGCAGGGGTGTGTGTGTGTGTGTGTGTGTGTGTGTGTGTAGATAACGGTTGGGGGAACAGAGGGTTGAGCTCGTTCCAATTAAGCCGGGCCTCAGAGCGTCGAGTTAATTAGCTGAGGAGAGAGAGAGAGCAGCTGAAGTGCCAATTTGCTCTGGAACGTCAATATACTGCATCTGTCTGTCAAACACACACACACACACACACACACACACACGTGGAATATGAGTGACAGCGAGTGTGTGGTACTGTCGAGGTGGTACGGGCTGCAGTGGTGGGAACATAATGGAACGTACCAGTCACCTCCCCCCACCCACACCCACGCTGCTGCTGCACCTAACCGAGCCACCACAGAAGAAGAACAACAACAACCAGGTCCAAACTGCAGCAGATCTGTTTCCCTCAGGAGGAACTCACGTCACACTGACCTCTGCAGGGCTGGAGCAGCGAACCTGTAGTTACACAGCAGCCGAATCAAACTCCACCGACACGACAGCAAAACGCATGAGATCCGACGTGACGCCGGATTGTGACCCCGGGACGTCCGAGATAAACAGATCAGAGCGAAGGGACCAACACACGGACACGTTCATCCTGTGTACGTGACCTCACGTCAAACACATCAAGCGGCAGTGGCCCCGGTGGTGGTGGGGGGGGGGGGCAGTGGATGTTTGAAGTATTTTTCAGTTTTTAACAGTGAAACTGTTTCAACATTTTAATTTAGAGTTCTCACTTCGAGCCGCTCCAGAAAGAGTTCAGCCTGAAAACAGCTGCGGTTGATAAAAACCGATATGAAGACACCTTTTGTCTTCGTCCAGATCTTCCCACACGCCTCGGTGTTCTCAAGTTTTTATTCCCATCTTTGAAAAATAGCTGAAATGAGTTTTATGTTATTTATACATTCTGTGCAGGGAATATAAAAATACCAGCGTCTCGTACTTAATAAGGAGAAATGGTTTTGGTCGACTGACCTCCACGAGCGTCGCGCTGAAACACTGATGCTTCAGCTCATTAAAGGGTTTTAATTGCAGCAGGAGACGAGCTGAGTGGGAGTCTTCTTCCTACAGAGACATTAGTGGACCTCCTGGTCTCCTCCTACACACCTGTCACACACAAGCCTCCAGTGCACAGAAGAGCCTGCTGCTTTAAAGATTTACTTTATGATCCACTCCCAAGGAAACTTGTGGTCTCAGCGTGCACGGAACACACACACACACACACACACACACACGCACGCACGCACACACATGTACCTTGTTGTTGCTCATGTATTGAAGCTTCATCTGCTTCATGTAGGTGGTGGTGAGAGGCATGTTGTAGTCTATCACCTCCGACACCAGAGAGCTCGGCCTGTCGTTCTCTGGAGGAGGAGAGGAAGAGGAGAGGA